GTTTTGAATAGACGACCTCTAGCGGCGAAAAACCTATTGTGCCTATAACTGATGTCAGAAGGGAATTGTAGGACCCCTTTAATAAAGATGTAAAATAAGTCTCTGATGTCCCCAGAGTGTTTATGCGAAGTTTTAGCTTGAAATAACACACGTGTAATTTTATATAGCATATTAAAATGGTCACTTTTTGGGGGTGAGCAAAAACTTGTCGTTTCGTGTGTGTCCCTTTAAATGCAAATGAGCTGCTGCTCCTGGCACAGAGGGCGGAGCTTCAAGAGCCTGTGTGTGTGTGTGTTAACAGCTCAGACTACCAAACACAGACGCGCACTGAAAATGTCAAAAACGTTTAGACTATTACGTTCAAACTGGAGTCAGAGAAAAAATAAGAGACTTGAGAATGACGTTTCTGAGTGGTTAGAATATGCTAATCAATGACTAGAAGAACTCCATATCAGCAACTGTCAATCAATAAATTGTGTTCCTAAAGACGGGGTTCATGTAAATTCTAGGGTTGGTGATGTCACTAAACCGGGAGTAAGCTCGTGTAGTTCTACCAGCCGTTTGTTGTAGTCCTTTCATGTTGAACTCTGAGCGTCGTGACTTTGCAGATGTTGTTTATGCTCAAACAGCAACATTACACGCTAACTAAAGTTACCACGCCTTTAAATAAAGTATATTTTCAGTTTTAGTTTATTGCCGAAATGCAAACTGTAATTTCGGATTCTGTGTTTTAAGATTTGTGCATCACTTGTTGATAAATTATAAGAGAGACTGGTCCAATAGAAAATGCGGTTGTGCAAAAGCAGGGTGAAACTGGCGAGCAGTGACTCGAGGACACACACGAAAATGACTTTCCAGCCGCTGACCAGAATTCCTGATACAGTTCCGTGTCGGCAAGAAGAATGAGATCACAGCCAATTGCAGTCCAGGTGGAGCTGTTGCCATGGCAACACAATGGAGCGTTCCATGTGATGTATCATTTATGGCTCAAGGTTCCCCGTTAACATGATTTAGCTGAGATAAAGGAGCACATGCGTTGGCTCGTCTTCTCTCTTCCCAGCTCAGATGTAAATCTGGACCGCTGTTGGCAGTGCTGTGCTGAGACGAAGGGGAGTTTGAAGAACTTGGAAATAAACAGTTCCTCTAGAGAGCCGGGGAGAGGGACAACATATTTCAGACCTGAAACTCTGCTTACTCTGCACTATTGTGTTTTTTTTTTCTAAAGAACAACAAAAGCTCATTATCAAAAAGTGGCTTTCTCTTCATCTGAGATGACATGTGCGGATGTGATCAAGGCCACATGGGCTGGTGTTCAGATCCCAGAGGACACGCGCTCTTGCCCTACATCACTTTCATATGTCGTTGTCATTTAGCAGATCAAACCCTGTTGGAGGTGATCAGGCCCACACTGGGAACGGCTCACGGTGGGCTCTGCGTCTGATAATAGATATAAGAAGAATTTATGCTTTTCTGTTCTTGACAAACACCAACACGTTCTCTTGAAATGGATGTGTTTATAATATTTACGATTTTTCGTTTTTCTTATAATGACCCCAATGTTCTAAGTTCTTGATGCCTTTTTAAAGGGTTCAGTTCCAGTATTTTTCTGTTTTTTATGGAATATCAGACGATATTAGGTTGTTTTTTCCATGTTTTAATTTATTTTTGTCGTTAATTTGGTGGCGTTTATTAAGTGTAATGTCCCCCTGTGGTGAAAATCAAGTTTTTATGTGGTGTTTTAGTATGCTTTAAGACAATCTATGTGTAAATTCATAAGTGGACAGCATTGCTGAGTATTTCCTCCTTAAAACTGCAGTGAACCAAAGACAGTCTCAAAAACACAGAAATCGCTGGTGTTTCTGATGTCACAAACGACCTTGTAACCAATCAGATCAACGAGTGATTGAGTGGAGGCGGGGCTCATTTGCATGTTCATAGAACCGCACATACTAAATGAGGCAAGGGTGTCGAGTTACATTCAAGCCATTTTAAGGCATGAAGAATATTTTTCAAAAGGATAAAACTTTTAAATATGTAATTTTTGTGATCAAATGCGAATTTTAAGGGTTACGAAATACTTGCGAAATACTACTACTAGTTTTTTAATAACAAATTGTTTTAAATGTTTTTTCACAATCTAGAAAAATTTAAACGGACAATTAAAAAAAAAGTAAAACACAACTTATTATTGTTAAAATAATACTAAATTGCTAACATTATGTAAATTCAAATTGGTAAAACCAGTTTGAAAAAACTTGATTTTGGGTCTGAGACTCTATTATTGTGTTTTACTGAGAATGTTTTCTGTAAAATAATGTTTTAATGAAGCATTTACTTCGGTTCAAAGGCAGTGTAAAGACTGAACTAAGTGAGTTTAAGTGCATGACTGAGCCATGAGCGCATGGCATTATGGGAAAGTGTCTTGTTTTTCCCCCTTCATGAAAGCAACAATCTGAGCAAGACTAACAAGAGATCAGAAAGTGTTTCTGTCGTCACCGAGTCTAGTCATGTTGTAATATCTCTCTCTGTGATCACAAGCAAGCTCATGTGGTCCAGGTTTATTTATAAAAAGATTAGTAAAAAAACAACAGGATATTCTGAGGATGCACATGCAATTGTTCAATTTTTAAAAGGGTTAGGAAAAAAAGTGTTTTTATAGACTCACATGAACAACAGGATATTCTGAGGATGCACATGAAATTGTTAAAAAAAAAAGATAGTTTAATAGTTTAATCAAGAAATGTGATATCTTATCAGTCTGGTAAATCACAGAAAATGGATACCAACAGCCAATGAAATGATAGCGACTGATGATTCTTGGAACACGGTTAACTTACATTTGTCCACATCATATACATACACATACAATATCACATCAATATTTGAACTACAATGGCACAAATCATAAAACAAAAATGATATTTTGATTAAGTGTGCAAAGTGTTGTTACAGCAGCATCTGTTTAGATCTGCTACCGCTGTGTAAAATTTTTCTATGTTCAGTGTTGTCAGAGTTGAGCATTAACACTCAATGGATGTCCACAGTGAAGGAGCTCAGTAGTAGATGAGTGTGGAGAAACAGAAACCCTGGAGCGGATCTGGAGCAGTCGTGCCGGACTCGGACTCTGTTCCCACACTTCACACGGAGGGATTTATGTTCTCTCACACTCTCCTTTCCGGTTTCCCAGTACTAGAAAAGATTTGCAGTGAAAGCTTTGAGTTCTTTTATTTAAAGAGTTTCTGGTGGGTGTTCAAGGTTTTACTTTAGATGTGAAGGATATGAGTGTGTGACGGGGTTGAATGCTGAATACGGCACATTGACTTTTAATACGACGCCATAATTCAATGGGACATTAGTTAATGCATTATGTTCAAAATCGTGATCTCTATTTGAAACCCCACAAAATTCTGATTCTCGTTTTATCCAGAATCGTGCAGCTCTATCTATGCGTCATTATATAAATATCTCAAATATGGGTGCCAACAGAAAACACCCCTACTGACTTTTTAGTCTGTAATAAACTCTTCCTCCCACACTTCACAACTTTCCCTGCATCTTACTGAAGTATGACCAACCATATGGACATAACCATAACTCCTACATTCATTACATATATTTATATCTTAAAGTATAATGGCCTTTTGAGAAGATTTATAAAAAAAAACATGTCATTTTTATATTTGGTAAATGCACTGATGTTGTTATGGATTAAAAACGATCAGAAAATATTTCTCTGTTCTGGTTGACATGTTGTACGTTGGACTAGAAGACAGATTCTGAGATGTATACTTCATTTGGGACTCAATTTAACAATATTGTTGGGACAGTTGCAGTAGACACAATACATGCTGAAAGTGCAGTTTGTAATTTTAGCCTGGTTATTATTTCATGCTAGTAAATGTCTGGCAGATCAGATGTGGTTCAAATGGAAGCCATTTGCTATTTATATTACATATCTAGAAGCTACTTAGGTATTTTCTAGTACTTAACATAATACTTTGGTTAAATTAATGAAAATACTTTACTATAGCATTGGTAAAAACATCTTCCATTTATTAGATTTGAATTTGTTAATATGAGATGCCATATTATACCTAAACCAACTAACTGGGATAAAGCTCACTGAGATTACTTTTATACAAGCGCTCGCCGCAAAGGGTGATTCAGTTAAAGTCCCCCTGTGGTGGAAATCAAGTTTTTATGTGGTGTTTTTAATGTGCTTTAAAGGGATACTCCACTGTTTTTGGAAATAGGCTCATTTTACCACTCCCTCAGAGTTAAACAGTCGAGTTTTACCGTTTTTGAATCCATTCAGCCGATTTTCTGATATTTAGAAGAATATCAGGAACCAGACAGTTTCTGGCTTCCATAGTATATATTTTTTTACTACTATGAAAGTCAATGAGACCAGAAACGGTCTGGTTATTGATATTCTTCTAAATATCAGAAAATCGGCTGAATGGATTCGAAAACGGTAAAACCTTTAAACTGTTTAACTCTGGGAGAGTGGTAAAATGAGCCTATTTCCAAAAAAGTGGAGTATCCCTTTAAGACAAACCATGTGTATATTCATAAGAGTATTTTTTACACACACGGTTTGAAATCGCTGGTGTTTCTGACGACACAAACGACCTTGTAACCAATCAGATCAACGAGTGATTGTCAACCAGTGGATCTCTGAGTGAGTGAGTGAGTGAGTGGAGGCGGGGCTCATTTGCATATGGAGGCGAGGGTGTCGAGTTACATTCAAGATATTTTTAGGCATGAAGAATTTTTTTGACATGTTTAGTAATTTTGGTGAGCAAAGATGATTTTTAAGGGATAAAATTATTGACCACAGGGGGACTTTCATTTTAAAAGGACGTAAAGAAAAAAATAATTAACAAAGTGGAAAGCACGATTTGTAAGTGCATGGGTTTGTTCATTTCCTCCATTGTTTTCTCGAACCTGAAGTAGGTTTTGGCCCAGCGAGCCTCTAATGTTCCTCTGGTTCCTCTCAGGCTTCAGCCGTGCGGCGCTGCCCTTCGGTCTGGTGCGGAGAGAGCTGTCCTGCGAGGGATACCCCATCGACCTCCGCTGCCCAGGAAGTGACGTCATCATGATCGAGACCGCCAACTACGGCCGCACCGACAACAAGATATGCGACGCAGACACGTTCCAGATGGAAAACATTAATTGCTACCTCCCGGATGCCTATAAAATCGTATCTCAAAGGTAAAGTCTGTGTGACAAGCGTTGCCTATAGTCCAAATGTGGAGTTTATTTCCTCCTTTCCTATTGGGTTTTAGATTAAGTTTTGCTGAGTGAACAGTAAGATTAAAACAATATATTGTAAATGATTTTCTGACATTTCAAAACTCAAAAGAACTAGTGTGTAGACGTTTCTGTGACTGTACAAGGCCTGAGAATAAGGTCATTCAGATTATTATTGCACTGCAATGAGGGATTCGAGATCAGGGTTTAGAGAGAAAAACAAGAAACGCATCGTAATGTTTTGTTTTTGAGGCTGAAAATGCAGCGTCCATTTAGTTGAAGTCAGCATGAAACAGAAGTTGCAATATTCTTTTCTTCTCTATTGTCCGAGTGAAACGCTTCTGATGTCATCAGAGAAGAGGAAGTTATTCTGATTCAAGATTACAAGGAACATGAATTTAAGAAAAAAAAATTGGGGTGAACTGTCCCTTTAAATGTGACATTATTTCCCTTTTCACAAGTTGTAAAATAACTATATGGTGTCCCCATAATGTGTCTGTGAATCTCAGCTCAAAATCTCCCCAGATCATTTATTATAGCTTGTCAAATGTGCCCCTTTTTGGGTGTGAGCATAAACGCACCGTGTTTTTTGTGTGTCCCTTTAAATGCAAATGAGCTGCTGCTCCGCCCCCGTTCAGAAGAGGGCGGAGCCTTTAAACGAGCTTCAGTTACTCCGGCAATAAGAAAACAGGCCAATCTCACCGGTAGCGAGTGCAGCCTTCAGGTATGAGTCCTTGAAAGGCATGCTGGGTAACTGAATCAGTGAGATTGCCAGGGTCAAAGGTAAACCTCCGACAGTGGCGGATTCATATGGACATGTGTTCCTCTCAGTTGATCTGACCTTTACCTATGAACCGCATCACAGAGAAGGATATTGGTGAGTTGTGTGCAGTGCTGAGGGATTTGAAAGTCCTTTAGGGTTTTCTTCTTTTCTCTTTTATATTCCCTGTCAGAATAGCTTGCAGTCGGCTCTGAGATAGAGTTAATGAAATTTCTTGTTTCCTTAATTATTTTTTTCCCGCTTTGCCCAAGGCCAAGCCGTGTCTGCTGGTTAACATCTAGGATGTGCAATAATAATGTTGAGTTGTAGAACATGATGCAAGGAAGCTGCAATTACCAAAAATACTACAAGATGCCTTAATGCCGAGGCCAATGTTCATGAGCTGAATGGACAGCGGGTTTGGAAAGGGTCATGTAGGGTCAAAGGTGTCTAATGTTGAACAAACTCTTGAGGCATTTCAGTATTTTGGTGAATTAGTGGCCCCACTGCTTTAGAGGGGAACGGTCCTGCTTATATTATGTCTAAAAAAAATTACGTTTCCATACAAATCACATTATGCAAATTTGTTGTAATAAAATATTAATGTTTTTCTCATGGGATGGGGTTGGTTGTGTTTGATTTCTGGGGCGTCTCTTCAAACTTGATTTGAATATTTATTTACTCGATTTGTGAGAGAAGCATGTTGTGCCAATATTGGGCTTTTTATATTTAATATTGGCTAAATTTAGCAGAATATTGAGGGAATATTGCGCCCTGTCCAAAACTCTTAAATCAGAAGTAATCAATACTGTATATCTATACATTAAAGGGTTAGTTCACCCAAAAATGAAAATTAAGTCATTAATTACTCACCCCCATGCTGTACCAACCCCGTAAGACCTTCGTTCATCTTCGGAACACAAATAAAGATATTTTTGATTGAATCTGAGAGCTGGATCAGTCCTATAGGATGCCTAAGGGACTGGCTCTTGACGGCCCATAAAGTCATTAAAGAAAAGGTTTAAATATTCCATGTGCCTACAGCGGATCAACTATAAGTTTATCAAGCGACGAGACTACTTTTTGTGCGAAAAAAACATAAATAACGACTTTATTCGACTATTCTATTACTTCCTTATGGGCGCATGCGCGAGAACTGAGACGAGGGCGTTCTCATTCGTCTACTTCTTGTTACCGGCTGCTCACCGCTTAGGAGTTTTACCGCCACCTACCGTATAAGATGAAGCGCAAAACTTTCTGTTTACAAGCAGAGGAAGATGCGCGCTGTACATACGCTTTTCAATTGGTGTATTTTCCGCACTATAAGGTGCACTTAAAAGCCTTTAATCTTCTCAAAAAACGACAGTGTTCCTTATAATCCGGAGCGCCTTATATATGGATCATCATTTTATACGGTAGGTGGCGGTAAAACTCCTAAGCGGAGCAGCCGGTAACAAAAAGTAGATGAAGGAGATCGTCCTCATCTCAGTTCTCGCGCATGCGCCCATAAGGAAGTAATGGAATACTCGAATAAAGTCGTTATTTATGTTTTTATCGCACAAAAAGTAGTCTTGTCGCTTGATAAACTTATAATTGAGCCGCTGTAGGCACATGGAATATTTAAACCTTTTCTTTAATGACTTTATGGGCCGTCAAGAGCCAGTCCCTTAGGCAGTCTATGTAGGACTGATCCAGCTCTCAGATTCCAAAGATGAACGAAGGTCTTACGGGGTTGGTACAGCATGGGGGTGAGTAATTAATGACTTAATTTTCATTTTTGGGTGAACTAACCCTTTAAGGTTACGTTGTCTTTTAATTCAATTTTATTGACTGATAGTAGTAGTAGTAGCCTTTATTGTCACTTAGTCACAAGTACCAGTGAAATTTGCCATCAACCTATCCATCAGACATAGGTTGATGGCAAATTTCACTGGTACTTGTGAGCCAGTCCCTTAGGGTTGGGTATATTGAAGGGTATATTGATAGCCTAATATACCTTCTAAGCTATCAGTGAGCCTGGTGAAGGTTTCTCTGGGAAGTTCAGTCCATAATTCCTCTCATCAATGCTTGTTTCGCAGGTGTAACAACCGGACTCAGTGTGTTGTCATCACTGGCTCGGATGTGTTCCCTGACCCATGCCCCGGGACGTACAAGTATCTTGAGGTCCAGTATGAATGTGTGCCATACAGTAAGTTATCTTCACACACATACTCTGAAATACTGCACGTGACACCACATGACAAGTTTATCTGGTTTATTTCTTTGTTTGCAAAGTGTGACAAAATGTGACATTATGGAATTTGGTGTGACATTTAAGATTTTGTTCACTAAATCCACATGGGAATGTTTAGATGGTGAATTAGTAATAGCACCTCACACATAATACAGTTTTTCAGGAAAATGTACTTACTATCAGGTTGAGTGCAGTTCTGCGTCGGATCCTAACATCATTGCTCTGTTTTGAATCTCAGTGAGCCGCCTACATAGGAAACCTCGTGTTGGGGTTTCCAGCTCTCGTCCTTCATGGGCATCGGCTCTGTTAACAGTCACGATTGCATGATCAACTAATAATCAGTACGGATATATAAAGCACAAACTAATATTTTGGTATTTGGTGAGATACTGCATTTCTACACTGTTGGGAATGCAGATTAGAGCTCGACCGATAAAGGATTTTGAAGGCCGATACCGATACAAATATTTTTGGGTTTTTAAAATCCGATATTCCGATATATCGGACGATATTTATTTTTTTCAGAAACGCGCAACAAAACATTAACAGATTTCCCTAACATAAGTTATTTGAAGTTATTTATGAGTTTTAACTAAAATAATATGCTAGTGCATTTTAAAAAGAAGCGTGTTTGAGAACAAACTGATGAGAATTGTATTAGCTAGCTTTGTGGTTAGCTAGTCTATGATGAGCCATAATTTAGCAATGGATAACGTCATACTACAAATTGTACATTGTACATTTTCATATAACAGGCCGAGGAGAGATGATACGTCTCATTGCTATAACTGTCACGCGCTATTAAAGAAATACTTCAGTCACATTGTCAAAATTTAAAAGGACAGTCAGTCAACGACACTGTAACAACGTAACGTAACTATTACTAGCTATTTCCGCTTCACTCTCGGCTTATTTAACAGCAGCAAAACTGGACTTGATAGTCACAAATTTTGTCATGCTTATTTGAGTTCAGAGAACTGATGGGGATGATCTTTTAATTGTTATTCAAGCAATGTATGTCTCGTGCCCAACTCAACGAGTGTTGCCAACAGGGACGGTGTAGAGTGCCCTCTGGTGGACAAACTATAAAACTCCAACACTCATGACATGGTTCAAGCGTGTTTTGTCCGTTTTTATTTTATTTTTGAAATATTAATTTATCGGCCATTATAACTGCCGATATCGATAGTTTGGAAAATGCCTAATATCGACCGATAATATCGGTCTGCCGACATATCGCTCTGGCTCTAATGCAGATGAATACACTAGTAGTCTTTAAAAATGGCGTTTCCTAGATCTTTTGGAACTTTTTGGTGTTGCACAATCTGGGATTGCCTTGTTCGTCAACGAAACATGCATTTGTGTGTATATTTGGACCAAAATTTGGCATGTTTGGAGTGCAACTATAGCTATGTTTCCATCCACCTATGTATGCGCATTTTGGGATATTGCATAAAAAACGCTGGATGGTAATGCAAAAATACAAATATGCTCATAAAAACGTATGTGCTCACTTGAGACATGAATTTTTTTTTATCTGATAATATATGCACATAAACTTTCGATGGAGAAAAGAGACAGATTACAGAAACTTAGTGTATTATTGATATTTTACACATATTTCCCTGGAAGTCACGATTTTGAACACATGGGATGGAAAAGGGTGCTTTATTCGCAAATGTTTTATGCCATATTCCAATTTTTGCGCTTAAGATAAATTCTGAACTTTGGATGGAAACACAGCTGTGGTGTTGCAGGGCCGATGTCTGTTGTTTCTCCATCAGGGGTTAAATGAAAACGTGTTTACTCTGTGTTTAATATCTTCAGCTCACCTTTTGGATTTCTAGTTCTCCGTCCAGATGGGCAGCTGTTTGTCCTGATGGGAAATAATAATACAACACTTCTCTTCTGTCGTCTCTTCTACTGATGCTTTGTTCTTGATGTTTGTCTCTCTATTGAAAGCCTTTAGGTTTTCAGATGCTTGATTCAGGACATGTCTTCTGAAGTTACGTCTCACTTTTTAAGGTTACATTTAGCCCTTCCCCACTTTGAAGGGCTTCATTTTACTTTTATTCATTGAGGATGCATTAAGTTGATCAAAAGGTACAATGAATACATTTATAATGTTAAAAACAAATGCTGTTATTTTGAACTTTCTATAAAACAAAGAATCCTGAACTGCTCAAACTGTTTTCAACACTGATGATGACACACTGATAAAATGTTTCTTGAGCATCAGATCATCATATTAGAGTGATTTCTGAAGGATCGTGTGACTGAAGACTGGAGTAATGATGCTGAAAATTCAGCTTTGATCACATGAATACTATATATTCACATAGAAAACAGTTGATTTTTTTTTTTTTTTTTTTTTACTGACGCCAAACTTTTTTTTACTTTACTGGCTATAGGTTGCAAAGAAAACTCTTTTATATTTTAATGATGCCTTTAAAACAAAGCAGACGACAGATGACCTCTTTCTTTTTCATAGTTCTATGACAATTTTTTCTAATTCACTTAAATTGTCCAAAAATGAATTTTTCATATTCATATTGAATTATTATACACTCATGTATATTAATATATCTTGCATGTTACATTCTGACTTGCCCATAAATGTGTTATTGTCTTTGTGCCAATGTTTTCGATTCATGTCAGAACATTAATGAAGAAAATGTTAGAAAATCTTTTTTTAATGTTTGAAAGAAAAGATTGTGTGTTTTCTTCTCTTTATCGTTCAGTTTCGCTTCCTCCTGCTCTCTAACCACTCTAATAGCTTCTCTCTTTGTGTTTAGGTGTCCTCTGATAGCAACATGATTAATTACACCTTATTCTCAGTAACACAGGTGTAACACCAAAAACGTTTTTCCCCTGAACAGTTTATTTCTGCATGTGCTGTATACATTTTCCCATTGGATGGTCTCTTCTTTGACGTAAATGTATTGGCCTGTATATGTAAATATAAGTTGTTGGTTTTTTTGGGGGGGAGGGGTCTAATCTTTTCTCTCCCTTGACGCTCTTTCCATTCTCTTGTTTTTCCACGGCTCAAAATAGAAGTGGAGCAAAAAGGTAAATGACTGCTCTGGCTCTCAGTCCTCAGCTCCTTGTTTTGTGTTGTATGGTTTTGAACCCTCCACACTGCTCCCCCCCCCCACCCCACCCCATCGCCTACATGATATCAAGATGGACGATCTATCTAACCCAAGCCAAGAAAATGGTTAAAATGCAGTCAACATTTACTGACAAACATATCTTCTGTGGTCTAATATAGTATCAATGTGTGTTTTTTAGACTATAAAATACTACCCCAGTTTGCTCTGTGGAGCCAACTATAGGTAAGCTGTAAATTGCCACGTTTCCATTACAGATTTGCGCAATATTTTCTAAATGTTGATAAACTATTGTGAAATGATGGCATTCAAAAAAATCATAGCAACGGATGTTGGTAATTTTACGTATATATTCCAAAAACTTTACAATATTTTTAATAGTCTTTAGTCCAAACACACAGCATCATCTTTAAAGAATGATCGACTTGCACCAGGTGACCTGTAAATCCGAAAAAAAAAAATATATTTCCATTGCAGCCTTTTGTGAAATATTCCTTTTTTTGGAATATGAGTTTTTTGTGAAATCGACGTGTTTCCATTGGGAACGTATTTCAATTTGCGCAATTTGAAGGGTAATGGAAATGTGGCTACTGTTGATTCCCAGCAAAGTGCAAACACTTCTGGGCCATCAACACATCTCTCTCTGTGTTTGAGTGTCCCGACCAACCCAACATTGACTCAACCAGTGGTGAGATTGTTTTTTGTTGAGAGAGAGATCATTTTGTTTTTAGGACAGGGAAAACCAGTTTCGAAACACACTTTTGCCGGTCTAGTTAGTGCCACTGGAAGCACAACGCACTCTGTCAATCAATGTACAATAAACTCTGGCTTAATGTTATTTGGCTTTTTCCTTGGCCACATGATATTGCTGGGAGAGAGAGGCCAATTATCTGTAGCCATCTGCATGTGATATGCTGTTCACCACAGACTTTACATTTCCAACTGGTTCGACGCCCAGAGACGGGTGCGTTTGGCCCATTCGTTCCTCAGTGACGAGACACTGTCACTATCTGTCCTGAACAGCATTGCCATCCTGTCCCCTTGACCTTTGTGTCCTTTCCTCTCGCCTCTCATGTGTCGTCGGTTCTTTCCTCAGACATAATCCTCCATGTATGTGTGCTTACTTTCGAAGGTATGGCTTTTGCGACAAATACGACAATCCCGCCCCCATACTGTTGACGTAAAAGAATCATGGCAATACTCCGGAATGAATTCTATCTGTCCATTAGCACTGTTTCTCTCATCTTTTTCATTTACAGGACTTTTTCCCCTTTTGTCTGCTCCTCTCAGTTAAACTTGTTTGCGAACAAACTCGAGAAGCAAGGCCACCTCAAACAGTTGCTCTCACTTAACCTCTCGTTTTCTTTCGACTATGCACACAACACCAGATATGACACTGCTAAAAATGATATTGTGGTACTAGTCTTAGAAACCCTAACACACACATTGGACCCAAAGAATGCATAGAAGATTATTGCTGGTTTTCATTTTCTAACTCTAGTTCTTGCCTCTTGACCTTTTCCCCCAGTTTTTATTTGCCCTGGGACTCTGAAAGCAGTAGGAGATCCGACCTTTGTGTTTGAGGCTGAACAGCAGTCTGGGGCTTGGTGTAAAGACCCTCTGCAGGCGGGGGACAAGATCTACTTCATGCCCTGGACGCCGTACCGCACCGACACTCTCATAGAGTACGCCTCGCTCGACGACTTGAGGAGTGGCCGACAGACGACTACCTACAAGCTCCCGCACCGCGTTGACGGGACCGGCTTTGTGGCCTACGATGGGGCCATCTTCTTCAACAAGGAGCGCACTCGAAATATCGTCAAGTTTGACTTGCGCACGCGGATAAAGAGCGGGGAGGCCATAGTCGCCAACGCCAACTACCACGACACCTCACCGTATCGCTGGGGCGGGAAAACGGACATCGACTTGGCGGTTGACGAACGGGGACTGTGGGTTATCTACGCCACCGAGCAGAATAACGGGCGCATCGTTCTCAGCCAACTCAATCCCTACACTCTACGCTTCGAGGCCACATGGGAGACGGTCTACGACAAACGCTCGGCCTCCAACGCCTTCATGGTGTGTGGCGTTCTGCACGTTGTGCGATCCACCTACGAGGAGAATGAAAGCGAGGCCAGTAAGAGCCAAATCGACTATGTGTACAACACCAAACTGGGGCAAGGGGAGTATATCAATATCCTCTTTCCTAACCAGTATCAGTACATCGCAGCTGTGGATTACAACCCGAGGGATAACCAGCTATACGTGTGGAATAATTTTTACATTCTGCGATACGACTTGGAGTTTGGGCCCCCCGATCCAGGAGAAGGTAAGACACATTGTTGTCTCTGGTTTGTTTTGTGAAGAGTTTGAATTTGTGTCTGCAGAACGCAGGCTTGCTACGGATGATTTAGTTTTAATTTTGAGTACTGTAGTGAGACGAGTGTGTGATGGAGGAGAGACCCCTGGAGAGAGTCTTCTAGAGAAGAATTGCTCGAGTGCAGTGGATTATTTAATCATTGTCATGTGTGATAGTCACAGTGACTGCTTGTGAAGGCCAATTATCATAGTGAGGCAAGCAGGGCGTTCAATTACTTGACTCAAGTGGCTGATGAGACTTTGCAGGCCTATTACCTCACCCATAACCTCCTGGGAATTGAAGGGGGAAGTTCACAATTGCCCTGTTTTGCAAAAGTGCGTCTTACATGAGAAGGCTAGTGATTGACCCTACGAAGTTGAAAATTGTCTCCACTTGTTCCCCGTAGAACATTGATTATTTTCCTAGAGAACAGGATTTTCAATGAATTTAGACAGTCTCAATATGATTTGGTGTTTGGTAAAGAAAAATATATTGTGCATGAAAAGATGCTTTTATAATTGACTAGATGTGTTGGAAGCTGGACTTTTATTTTGCCGACTCTGGGAACGCACACAGCGCTTCTATTCTCCTTCATTGGATGTGGTCTCTGTTTAACAGTTTTGTCTGAAATGTTAATAGATAGAACTGTTTAACAAAGAACGCAAACTGTCCAAAGTTTACATACGAAAAACGATTATAGCAGAACGGCAAACGCTATAGAGTGCCGAAGTGATGACGTCACTTTCTAGGACAACCCGGAAGCTAGCGGCGCATGGGTTCCCTCGGTCGAAAAGCAATGTATTTTCCCCATAGACTTTTGGAAAATCGCAAAAAAATAAGATCTGTGTTTAACAAAGAGTTGTGACCCTTACACGTTTTGTCTATCAAGATAATCTTTACAAGTCTATATAAAGATTTTAAAAAACACAATCAGGTACAATAAAGTTTAAAAAACCATAAGCAGGTTATAACTGTGAAAATATTTAGAGGCTTTGTTCACCACAGACCTTATTTCAGGCGATTTAGCAAAAACCCATTCAAAAATCCCATAGGCTTTAGAGCGAGGGAACCGGTAGTGCTAAAATGCTAACTCACTTCCGCGTTTTGGCCTACAGAGTGACGTCGTAACTTCAGCACTCTATTAATACTTAAGTAAATATGCATATCATTTAAACAAATCTTTGAATATTTAATGAACATTTAATTTCGCAAACCTTGCGGACTTAGTCGAATCCAGCTGTCAGATCTTCTGAAGTGCCCATTCGTAGCCTGCATGATCGGTCGGTCCGTGTGAACTGAATGCCGACAGGAGAGTTCAGCTTCACTGGAGACACGTGATCGACACACTTTGACTATATTCAGTTGCTCACTATATCATAGTCGTGTCATTTTCATTGTGCTGTAGGAGAAATTATCATTACCTTGTAAAAATGTATTTAAAAAAAATATGATTCAAGAAGGCTGTCCCATTTAGAGATTTATTTTTGACAGGAAGATACAAGATTATAATTTATATGTAGCGCATCTAATAAGTGATATGTAAGGCTCTTGCTCTCCCTCTCTGTGTTTGTGAGAGAAACACAGAGCGCTCTCAGCTAAGTGACGGTGATTCGGTTGCCTTCACACTACAGTTTACGGACGGTGCATCACATCCATTGAGATGAATTGCAATAGTGTGCTTTAAAGACGGAGAGAAAAACTCTCAAGCGCTAAGTGATCATGACTGGTGAAGGCGAGTTTGTCTAACTTATACTTAGCCTCTAACTCGAACACTGGCGTGTGAAATCTTACAATTTTGCCTAGCATGATTTTTTTTTTTTTCGTATGCGAGTGATTTACTCACAAATTTATAGGGTTGTTAAAGGATTAGTTCACTGCATTGCATTGTTGCCTGTTATTAATACTGAATTATTTTGATTGCCAACAGCCCTAAAGTGTCTTATTATTATAATTGAAGCGGAATGTAAGAATCTACTTAAAAGATGGCCGATGCATTTAATAAAGTTAAAAACACCCATTATATAAGTAAAATGTCCCTGGAAATCATTTTAAGGCGTCAAAAATTGCTTCTTAATGGAAATGTTAATTTCTGCCACCACTGTGGTTATAAAACAAGAGCTTAAACCACAACATCTGCTCTGTTGAGGAAAAATTATTAGAAAATCCCATTCACAGAAGCAGCTTCACACCAGTGACCTTGTGCTGAACATGCACAAAACACTTGTTTATTCAAACATTGACATGTCAAACACGTCATTTTTCACCACATGATAGCACAACATTGGGCAATTAGTTTTTATTTCAGCTCTCAGTATTGATTGCAACAAGATATTTGTCTTAGAAAATGTAATGCTACATGTAGTGTCTCTAGCGAGAATGGAATAAAATGAGTCGCTTGCATTAATATTCACCGTGAATGAGATAAACCCCGCGGCAATACCTGTCGGAAAAGCATCTGCAGAGTTTCCACCATCCAGAACTGATGACGTGAGGTACATCTATGGGAGCGATTAAATCTCATTACCAGACTTTATGAGCTATGTATTACGCCTCAAATGTGTGCTGGGTAATTACATGGTAGCGCAATCTCCAGCCTGTAAAAGAGAAGCAGGGACGCAGTTGTGCTCTTAAACCGCTGTAACAACACCCTGAAACGCTACTGTGTTAAACGGCTGCTGTTGTAATCCTCCTTTACAATTCTTGTAATTCCATTAGGATGCAGACCGACATAAAACGTCTGATTTATAAGGGGAATTGGTGTGCATTGAAAAGCGTGGCGTGTGGCTTATTTGAGTGTGTCAAACTTGCCCATATAGACTCTAGCTTCTCTTCCATAGATAGATACATAGATCAAATGATCTCTTAAAATGATCTAAATCAGTGTTTCTATAGTTTTTCTGTTGTGTTAAGGTGTCATAAATGTGTATCTGCATCTGTTCCCACAAAATTTGTTGGGTTAAATAGTTTAACTGCGGTAATTTGACATTATTAGGCCATACCTTTTAATCTTCTGTGTCTTTGTATCATCATATCAATTTACTAAATCTGTGACTCCTGTGTATTTGTGATTCATATGGAGGTGTTTTGGTTTGATTCTTCCTCCAGCTTATCACTTTAGGTGTATGTGTGTTTTGTGTTGTCCAAATTTTTGAAGCCAGCTTCACTTTTTATTGATAGAATAATAATACAACAGTGATTTGAAATAATTAGAGCCCGACCGATGAAGGATTTTGAAGGCCGATACCGATACAAATATTTTTGGGTTTTAAAATTCGATATTCCGATATATCGGCCGATATATATATTTTTTTTTATTAAATATTGTTGGATTTCACACACGTGTAAAAGAAAAGCTAACTTTTCTGCACAAGGTACGTTTGATACTTTTTCTCTATGTCTAAATGTTCACTCCTCGCAAGTATAACTTACATTTTACAATGTAGGGACTATAACTACAGATATGCTAGTTATAAATACAGTAATCATTACTTTATTTAGGCAGAAAAACTTAATTGTGGTTTCCAAGCTCATTAATGTTAACGTTAGCGGTCTTCCACTGATGATAGTGGCATTAGCTAGCTTTGTGGTTAGCTAGACTATGATGAGCCATAATTTAGCAATAGATAACATCATACTGCAAATTGTAAAACATACATTTTCAATATAACAGGCCAAGGAGAGATAATTAAAGCGTGTTTCGTCCGTTTTTATTTTATTTTTTAAATATTCATTTATCTGCCATTATAACTGCCGATACCGATATTATGGAAAATGCCTAATATCGGCCGATATATCGGTCTAGCTCTAGAAATAATCCAAATTCTCATCATGTTTTGGTTTTGAGTTTTGTTAATATGTCTGCTGAAGATGCATTTGGGGGCACTAATGGGTTGGGAACTTGGGAACAGTTTTGAGGATTTATGATCCCAGCTCCTGCTAGATCCAGTTGGCGTCCATTCCTGCAAAAAATACCCATTGATTTTGTTGTTGTTGTCCCATTCCAGCCTGCAACCCAGCTTTACCTGTGGTTATCATGATCTACACATGTATGATAGTATAGAAGACCATTGGTTAATTTATTAAGAGTAGAGTCCTATTAATTTACAGATGTTACTGTTTTTATAAATTAAAATAAATTTACCATCTCAAGCTACTGTCAAATATGCATTTCCAACAGACAAAACATATTAGTGGGGTTTTTTTTGTTAGTTTTTGGTGCTCCCAAATCAGGTGTTGGTGCCTCCATCAGTAAAATGCTCTGATGTTAGTCTGAAGCCCTGTTAATGCTAAATTTGCGCATCGCTTTAGTAACTGTAAGCATAGACCCAAAAGAGAGCGAGTCAAAAGGCAAATTATTTTCTCATTGATGGCTTTTTCATCAAAGTGAAGCTACTAAGAACCCGTACTAAAATGCATACCTAAATCCTGACACTTTAACTACTCATTTTGACACTTTAAAGCCATTGTCAGGGATGCACAACGATTATGTAGTCTTTGTTCAACAAGGTAAAAAGACGGATCAGAGGAAGCAATTATTCCTAGGAACTTTCAGAGGGATGAAGGAGAACATTTAAAGAAGACCTATTCTGATTTTTTTTTTCTTCATCTTTATTTTTTGCCGTTTAATCATGAAAAAGCTTTGCAAAGGTCCAAAGTCCCTCTCTATAAAATCTCTATATCAGTGTCAGTGTTTCTGAACTCCTGAAACGCATCCATTGTAGTCTTGAGTTTCTTCCGGGAACGGACACATCACAATATTCCTCATTATAATAATTAATACGCAAAATAAAGGGGCGGGGCCTGGTTGAGTTAGTTAGTAGTCTGTTTAACTGGTGGTTATGGAAAGGGGCGGGATTTTCCCAAACACACTCGAAGCGCTCGACCAATCACACTGATCCAGCCGACCAATCAGAGCACAGTGTGCTTTTCAGAAGGAGGGACAGGAAGTAAACAGAGCGTTACTGACAGGA